AAAAAATAATAATATAAATATATATAAACAAAAGCCATTTATCAATTTGCTGTCGCTTTTAGTTTCGAGTCCAAATGGCAAAAAAAATACAAAATTAATTCAAAGAGAGTTAGCTGGAGAAAGAAAAAAAAAAAGCAAGAGAGGGAGATAGAGCGAAAAGCAGCAATATCAAAATACACACAAACACACACACACATTTATAAACAAAGACACACACACACATAAGTATATTATATAGTTAAGCAATATATATATATAAATAAATATCGCGTACATTATTTAACTAGATGAAGTTATGCAACAACAGCAGCAGCTGGAACAAGCAACAAGATTTATGCAATTTTCAAATCGTTAAACAATGAATTTAATTAATTTCTCCTCATAATTGTTTACAATTAATGCAATTTAATTACAGTTACAATTATAATTACAATTAAACTATAATCTTGTTAGTCTCTCTTTTCTTTTAGTTGGAGCTCAAGAGATAGAGACAGAGAGAGCGATGGGGGGAGAGAGAGGGAGAACCATCACTCTCTCCATCTCTTTTGCTTGCATTGTCTTAGTCGTTTAGCGTGTACATTTTTTTAGTTATTACAAATGATATCGCTTATACAACTAGCATATTATGTGAGCATATAGAGTATACTATATTATACTATAAATACAAACTACATTCTATTTGTGTCTAATAAATGTCTCAGAAATATATATATAAATATGTATATCAATTGTATATGCAAAAGCAACGTGTTATTCATTTGGGCGGTGTGTGGGCGTCGGGTAGCGTTGCGTCGCGTCGCAGCGAACGAAAGCAATTGAGTCGTTTATAGAAACGGGAATAGTTTCGATTGCAGGTGCAACAGGTAATTAAGCTGCTTTTACAAAACTGGCTCGAGCCATAAATGGAACAAACAATGGAAAGTGCGCAGTATTCATTGATTCAGGTAATTGTATTAAAATGCTGTTTTTTATATATGTATATATTTATTTAGAATTTTTTTTGGTATAATGTTGAGGCAAATAATACTCTTCTCAAATATAAAATTGTATATTAGTTAACACAAACTTTAAATTATAAAACTCTCAATTATTAATGAAAAAATCGTTGAAGAAATCGTTGATTTTAGAAGGCCATCATTTTTTATTAACAATCGATGCTATGTTATTCGTCTGGAACTAAAGGATCCTGAATTCTTAGACGACCTCGTAGGCTTTAAAAGGGGATAAATTATTTGGCTGTCAAAATGCAAGAGCATCAAGATATTGTTCCTGCGCAAAAATATGGCTAAAATAGAAGTACGCGTATGCATCTTATGCCCAAAGCAAAGTTTGCCTGCAATATTTCTCCTTTTGGGTATGCAACGAAATTTTTGCAGCAAGTTTGAATGGTATTTTTCCGAAATATTGTAAAATTTGATGGCTCTTAAGGTCAGCTCTGACGGGTAAGCAACAAAATTGTTTCTTAGATTTTTGGATACTGTCAGGACTATCCTGTTTGCCTGATATTTTAGCTTATATTTGGAGTAAAAAGTCAATTTTCCCTTTATGTGTTTTGCTTAATAAATATTAACAAATGTTTTTACGAATATACAAAATATACATATTAATAAAGTTTTCAAAAAAATACAGAAAGACAACTGTTTTTTTAATTTATTAATTTTATGTTGCAGCCTGATGTCTAAGAGTCTACGAATACAGGTGGGTAGATGCTTCGCCTGATTTCCCAAGCGCTGTATGTAGTGGCAAATATAGAAACGTTGTTAGTGTGATATGATCTAACTTAATAATTATCCAAGTTTCAATATACCCCCTGACTTGCTTATATCCTCAATATATGCATATTGGCAACGCATTAAAGTATCATTTATAGCCTAAGCTCTTTTATAGACCTCATACGTGACCCGCTCCTTATAAATCAACATTGCTACACAGTGAGGTTCAACAAAACACAATAACAACACGAGCAATTCAGTTAAATACACACAGCACACAATACTTAACTGGCTTTAGCCAAAACGGGATCATGCGCCAGGTGAAAACTGCGCAATTGCCAGCGTTTGCTTTTGCCTAAGCGTTTGTTTTCGCTTTTGTTTTTTTCTCTCCTCGCTTCTTTCAGCAAACGCACCAAGCGCAAAAAAAAAAAAACAATTTGAATAGAGCAACACTTAATAATTTATGAAAAAAAAAAAAATGCTTCCTGCTAAGCGTCGAGCGAGACAATGAGGCGAAACACACCTGCCAAAGCATCAACACCTGGCCAAAAACATGAATTGCGCCCATTTGGGCAAAGAATTAAATACCAATTGCATTACACACACAAACACACACACACACATAGCAACAACTATATTGGAGCATATGCGGAACAGACTGAGAGAGTAGAAAAAAAAAATGTTTATAGATAGTTAGAGGAGGCTCAATTGCGTTAATGTTCGTAATTAGTTGGCAATATCGAAAGATTTAATTTGCCCGCACAACAGCTACAACAACACCAAAAACGTAGCCAAGCCGATCAAGTTTGTTGCCTAAGTCTTTTGTTATTGCAGCGATTGAAGCAAATTGTGCTATGCAAATAGTTGAGAGCGGGAGAGAAAGAGATAGAGAGAGAGAGAGAGAGAAACGTATCTCGCCAGCTTGAGCTGGCGGCAACGAATTGAATAACATGAAAAATGCGCTTACATTGCGATATCATCACGTTTATGACGCTGGCGCAATTAATCAGCCGACATGCAAGCGCTAAAAGGCAGAGCTCCAAACTGCAAACTCCCAACTCCAAGTCAGAATTGGAGTTGCAAGTTGCAAGTTGGAAGTCGCAGATACTGCAGCAAACGCACAGCTGGCTCTGGTCTTGCCTGCCTTCTGCTGCGACTAAGAACGAACCATAAACGTTTCTCTGCTCATCAAATGTGCAATTTATAACATTTTCCAAGGCGGCTGCCGGGACGACCAAAGCTCCAGCTTCAGACGCCTACGCAAAAGAACTAGAATCAACAACAACAAAAGGAAATGTTCGACTAGATGATACTTTGCAAATAGTTTGCACTAAAATTTGTTTAAATATAGGCTTAAACGAAAACTAGGATATAAACCAGGATTACGACTCCTTCCTCAGTTAATAAATATAAATAAATAAAATAAATACTTTAATTGAGCTTAGCTCCGTTTGGGCAGTTGCAAAATGAAGACCCCAAGCTAGTGTTCTAAAAAAGGATTCTGCGCCAAATAAATAAATGAAAATATTGTAAAAATATAAAAGTAAATAAATGAATAAAAAACGATATACAAATTAAACAAAAAAATCAAAATTAAAAAAATATAAAT